TAAAAAAGACCTAAATAGCATTGTTTAGATGGGCATGTTGGTCTTCGGAACGAGAACCTTCACAGTCACCGAACCTTAAACGCAAATGAGGCTTCCTGGTGCCTGTTGTTTTCCGCCGTTATTTTAAATTCGTCGAGATTAGTACGACATAGATAAAAGAGTACTACAAGAAAGTTTGTTTTTCGCCTAAGTTACAAATATCAGTGACGATCGGAGACTTCGGTTTATTCAGCTTCCGGCTGCCATTGCCTTCCTTGAAGCCTACAGCTGTACAATATTGCAATGAGCTCCTATTAAGAACGATGCTGTCCAAAGAAGTTTTGGGCTCTCACGGAACAAGTCTCGCACAAGTCTCACGGAAAAGTCACGTACGGCAATAGACAAAATCGGTGATCATAAACATCGGGCCTCTCTTAAACCTTTAGCCAAGCTATATGCATACGTACATTTAAATAGTACATACGCTGGGTGGCAAGCAGCTTGGACTATTTTCCTTGCTCAATCAAACACGCGCAAAAGCCGTATAACGCCACACCTTGTTGTTGGCTATAGCGTCAACCATCTAAGCCACCATCGATTAAGCTATTCCTTCGATGCGGCCAGCTAGCTCCGGCTAATATGACGATGAAAATATACGTTGTGGATTGCTTACTGATAAGATTGAATAGTTCGTTTACTAAGCAATTTACCGGGGATGTTGTCGTTGCAGCTGGCCTACAACTGCTACTGGAGCATGAAAGTACTAAAAGATGCCATATGCTAGCGTCGCGGAAGTACATCAAAAAAAGTGTGGACGTCACTGGCTTACACTTGCGTGACTTCGAACGTACGATGCTCTCCGCGTTTTGAGCACTCGATAGCCGCGATAAGGGTCGAAGCAATAGGAAGTAGGTTGTTCTAATGCTGTTGTGCAGCCGAAAAAAAAGTATAGTGCGTGGTCAGTTAGGTTCTATTTAGAATTTGAAAAACTAAAAAAAAAAAAAGTACAATAGACTAGGTGAGAAAAATGTACGCTTTATACCAAACGTGATCTATTTTTATAAGTTGGTACGTAAATATGATTTACCTGTTCGATAATTTAATCGATATCGTTTTGGTTTATAGAAGTTCTGTGTGATAAAAGAGAAAACTCAATATAACAGCGTATTCGCTCGCATACATCCAAGCTTGGAACTGTTGAGTGGACTTTTCTTTGTAATTAATAAACCCGACCTGGGCACTAACCATATTTCTCAGTCGTCTACATGCATTGGGTATCATTGACCATAAGTTATATTGCCTATATAGTTTGGCTGCTGAGTTAGCAGAAAGTCAGTCCTGTTTGGAATGGGGTTAATTAAACTTGTCTGGTATAGGCGATTCCTAGAGACCAGGGGCACGTAAACAGCAGCTTTATTCGGTGTGGAGGTGGTATAATAATATGTCAATCTTCATTTATATGCGCCAAGCTCAAGGATAATGTTTGATAGAAAACTAGGCATTGTTCGTCAGCTGTTCCTGCTTTAGTGCATCGACTGGAACTTAAAATATGCTCTTAATTTTATTTAGTTTAAGTACAGCCTCCATCACTTTTGGCGTAATGTTGATACGTTATCTGCTAAGAGAGAGTGTCATGAGAAGTTACCTGTACAAACGAACCGACCGAAGTCAGTATTTTATGATCATATTTTAGGCGTTCTACTTAACTTAGATTAATTAAAATAACGACTCGAAAGCAGATGAATTTCTGCATGGGTTGCTAGCGTCTGCTTTGAATTGTGTGCGGTCATAACCACGTTTGCTAGAGTCAACTTGTTTTATCGTTTATCAGATCGTTATGTTGTTTTGAAGGTTGGCCTTGAGAAGCTTTTCTAATTGCCATAGTGTCAAGGAAATTCTCCATTGACATATCCGTAATCCTGTCAGCGTACCTCAAATGTTTTTCTTAGCCTTTACTGAAGTACTAATATACTCTACAATGCGAAGCACTAATAGGAACCAAAATAACGTTTTCGTATCGGGATATCAATATATTTCCACAGGTCTTCGAAGTTAATTGTAACCTGAATTAGTGTCTATTCTATGGTACCGTCTCTGTCCAAATCGTCTTGACAACGTAACGCCCTGTTGTTGTATTTAGCGAGGAGCGCTCTAGCATCGCAATGATTTTAAACAAATAGAAATTTTTTTTAGCGGAAAAACGAAAGGAGACCCTATGTACGACTATAGAAATCTATGTCCGTCATTTGAGCATCAGTAATGGTGTAACGGATTGTGGATATTCTGGCAAAACCTATTCTGTTTCATCGTCATCGAACAACAAAATATCTTGAACCTATATTTTGGATTATTGTAATTAGTAGGACCTAACATTTCGGACCTTAGATTGTAACCCAATTTGAAAGCACATTGTTCCCTAAAAAATCATTATAGACTCACACTTATGGATAATTAATGGCAACTTATACTCTGAAAGAACACACGTACGTATTCAGAGCCACGGCGATGGCTGAGGCAGTGTTTAAGCCGGTACCATAAGCCAGCCTTGTTTAAGAGACTTTAGCCCATATTAAATAAGGCGCAATGTAGTCTTACAAACTAAATAAATGTAATATAAATGATAAACCTGTATGAAACCATCGTAAATATTATTTGTATGGTAAGCCTTTGAGCCAACTGAAGTCCTCTTCACCTTAGTTGGCACCGAAGAAACCGAATACTAGAGTTAGACTCGAAATAGCGAGCCGATGACAACATCAAACTGTCTCTTTCTCGGAAACTTGGCACGGATTTTTTAAGCTTCAAATGCACCATTTTTGTTTGTTGACATAGCCTCAAAACTTTTATGCTGATATAATCTCTGCGGTCCTCCATTGATGCAGCTTGTACGTCTTGACAAGTGCAATTCATTCGGGCATTATGAACCTCTTCATCGTAAGAACATACAATAGTTTTCTGTATTTTTTTTCACATGACGACTACCTCTAATATGTCGAATCTCGCCTTCCAGCATGGACAGCTTGTACGAAAACAAATGCGTTGAAGACGGTGAACTTTTCCGCGATGTCACAAATATCCTTCGACACGAACGTAACACGTACTGACAAACCCACACCATGTCGAGCGTGTCAACCCGATTCTCGTATCGTTGCTCTCAATCTTCATGTGGCCAACGACACTTCTGTTTACTATGCTTATCCAGTTTATTTCTCTCATGTCAATGGTTGGTCCGCGGCTGACCCGTTGCGGACGCCAGGGGAAAAGGATGACCTCTACTTTTCAAACAGAACCGCCAAAATTACTGCTTCGTAAGTCTTGCTTCTATTACTGCTACTACCTTTAAGATCGCTACCGCCGCTCTGAGATAGCTCTGTGTCACTAGCCCGGTCTACAGCCTGTTCGCCGATTTGGGAAATAAACATTTCGCAGATCCCATAATCCGGTAATCTTCGTGGGTTTGCAGGTTTTTCTGTCTTTAGTCATAGCGCCCCCAGTATGGGCCTTCGTAGGAGGAAGGAGCATTACCTCTTTCCTCTCACACCCATTACTAACCTACAGCTATTGTACTATAGCCCGCATCTCTGCTTAACCCTCTGTTTGATTAACTTCGGCCCCCGCCGCTTTGCATTGCTGCGCAGCTTTATCTTATGGCGAGATGAGCGGTTCTCATAGTGGACATACGATGATGTGAGCTAATAGGTCATCATGGACAGGGATAAGGCATCATATGAGACGTGGTAACAGATCCACAGAAGTAGTAACCCGGCTTCACCTCAATTGGCTTGGCAGACCTAATCTCGGTCCAGTTGGAGTACGAGTCAACTTTAGGGCGCCCATACTGGCTGCTATACCAACTGAAGTGCCTGACTGAGGTTGCGCGACGATGTGGTTATCGGTTTAATAATAAAGCTTGCGAGCTGTTTTTTTTTCCCGAAAGTTGTTGACGACACTGGTGGTAATGAGAATGCTGATGAAGCATGACGCCAGTTACGCGCCATCGCAATGGTCCTGCCTTGCATGCGGTCTAAGCAAACACATCGACTAGTTAAGTAACTAAATGAAAATATTGAGTTGCTAGGTACGTACTTTGGTAAATGAAAGTTTTTGGATACACGAAGACCTATTTTTTGATCAAGTACGCGCCTATAATATTAACTGATGCAAAGTATACCATTTCAAAACTGCTCCATTTGTTCTCCTGCTATAGGGCCCCGCAACGTTAGACCTAATAGGCTAAGCGAACGTAAGTGTTTATTTTATCCTAGTCTTGGATTTTAAAAAATATTTCTAATTTTTTTAGGAATTTCATTTTTTTGGTTTCAAGCTAATTTTAAACTTTAAAGGTAAAGATACCGTAACGGCTTGTGCCAGTTTAAGATAGGCTGGCGCGCAGGTAGTCATTATCGACTTTTCCATGAGGATGATTTAAAAGCTAAAATAATTTGCTTGCAACTACAATTTTCTGTAGTAGAGCTCTCCTTGAAAACAAGGAAAATCTAAAAGCCTGTTGACAATGCGGGGATTTCGCGAAAAAGCTTTTTTCTTAGAACCCTTACATTAGGGCATAGGACATTGTATCTTGACGCCGGCAACTAGCTAGACGTTTTTGGAACGAAAAAAAAACCTCTAATAATAAGATATGTGAAAAGTTGAAACAGAACGTAGAGCGATACGTTCATTGTCTTCGAATTCTTAATGTCCACCACTTCTAATGACCTCAGGTTAGATGACCTATTCAAAAAAGAAACGGCAATATTTTTATCGCTAGTATTGCAATATATATATCTAAATAAAAAATCACTAAATATATATATGTAATGGGCTGTATGATACAACTCAGCTATGTGTATATTTTTACTACAAAATATGGTGCTTTGAAAGCCTCCAAGAATTTTTACTGTTATCTATTCACTGTGTCTGTGGCGGGCCGACATTTTGCTAACTATACTTCGAATCGGGACAATCGTACAGATGGCGCTGGCGACCTGCCGATAGATAACTGGTATCTGCTATCTCTAGCCGTTAAAGCATATGCGCTGTTTTGGTTCATTCGTTGGTTAAGATATAGAGGGATCGAATGTCCCATCGTCACGATGATTAATGTCCGTCTGACCTGGAAGAACTATCTGCCGAGATAGTGTAAGCCGTCTTATTTTGAATACCTTACTTCTAGTAGGCTATTTAGCTAAATGATTTCCTTGTTCAATTATACATCTTCATCGTTTGGCTTCAAATCACAGTGACGATAAATTACCAGGCGTAATCTTTTTATAAGGCCCTTAAATATTATCAACCATTCCTTCTGCCATCTCCGGCACGGTAGGAACACTGTGACGACAACTTTTTTTCACTGTTGTTTGAAGTGGAACACCTTGCAGCGACCACCATTCTGGACGTATTAAAGGTTGCCGTGGGCGTAGAGCCTACTTGGCTTCTCTTTTTTCAGTCACTTTCGGGTGGCATATTCGACGGGGTTTCATTTAGCTCTATAGATGGATGTGGGCGTAATTGGATTAGCTGAGTGGTGGTTTCTGTTAAGTGCGCACGAATACGTAGAGCTATGTAAAGGTGTCTACGCGTGCCTTCCCTGTGCACCCCATTGCATGTGGTTGCATGTATGCGCCGATCGTCTAAGAAAGCATCAGCGTCACCGGCATGAGAGGTAACTGGAGCGGACTACTAGATCAATAATTCATTTGCTGTTTGAGTCTCGAGTTAACCCGACATAACAGTCCGTCGTTCATTCATGTGCTCTCTCCTTAGGACGACCTGACCAGCCTCACCTTCTTGGTAAAATTGTCCCTCTGCTGCTAAAACTCGTCCGTTACATTCGCTCGATAACATCAGCAGCGGTGCATACGGCTAGCGGTCATCAGCCAAGCGAGCCTGAAATAACGTAGACTCGGTTGCCATAATGCGAGGTCTAGAAGAGGATGACGAGAAATAAGTAAGAAGAAGCGCCTGCCAGATTAGCTCATACAGTCGTCTGCCTGCTCCCCGGTACAGGGGGCCCTAGGCTCCTTTGCTTCTTCCCTATCGTCCTTCTCGCAGACCGCACCGAAACTAGATGAAGTAACGAGAACGGAGGGACTGAACAAGGTGAAGAGCAAGGCAAAAAAGAAATCGCGTAAGATTCTATCACGTTGCCAGACCTTGGCTACTGTGAACGATTTCGCTATTGCGATTCTTATTACCACTAATACTGTTGCTGTGCGACGGGAGCCGCGGCGGCGTTGGCTGTATCTCGTTCCTGCGTCGGCTCGGTCATTCTTCGACATCTTGGATGGACAGTTCCATTTGTAACTGGCCACCCGCTGCGAGACATACATGCCGCACCGAGCTAATGGTCCGCTTTGCCAGCAACTGCTTACCCTAGATAAAGCTAGGGCTATTACAACTATTACATAATGACAGCACGCGGCTGTACTTTCAGATATTGGATATACACAGTATATGTTTGGAGTGGGTCAACGGCAAAACACGGGCGAAATTCGGAAGCGATCATCACTTCAGGTAGCAGGCGAGATAAATGTACGTACCATGGAACGCTGTGTTGATTTGCAAATTGTTTTTCTTTTTCATTATAATAACATTGAAGCAGTTTTAGCCATTTATAGTATGTAGATGTATGGATTCTAATCCCTTGTTGCTCGTAACACTGAGGCTTAGTAAAAAGCCCTTTGTTTTAACCAGCGCATATTCACGCCGCTTTAACCTGCTGAGAAACACTTTTATCAGTTCAAAAAGATTATCTCATGTCTACTATCTGTTAAAAAAAGACGCTAGAACTCAAATTCGTACTTCACCAGGTCTGTAATAATGTCTGGCGTATGAAAATTTTCCTCGTTACCTGCTTTGTGGTTCAGGATGTTTGATTGTCTTAAAGAAACACACCCGCTTGCTTCCTCTACGAAACACTCTGCTCAATTAGTAAAAATGACTGAACTGCTATATCAAAGGCCCCGTTTGTAAATTTTTCGGCAATATTCTTATGAGTTCGATCAGTAGAACAATATGACCTTATAATAGCTCGAAGTAAAATGACTGTAGAAGTAAAAGGAATTAAATATGAGCTGAGAATTTGGTGAAATATATCATATCTGTTAAATACTCGATACCGTGAAGTTTTGCATATTAAAGAAACTTGAAGGTACATGCGCTAGCTATGCAATTGTGTAAGAGGCCCGTTCCGTGTCTTTAGGGCGTATGGGAAATCAACCGCAGTGCCCTATATAGTAAATATATAAAGCGGTAATCTCATCAAATAGATATTGGTATTTGAATAATTTACTACTAGTCCTTTACGGGTTTATAATAGATAAACTGTTGTATGAACGCAGGCAACTTTTTCCCATTATCAATACCCATTATGTTAATCCAGTTTGTCCGACTTCCACTGGTAATCACGTAGTTGCGTTTTTACTACTTTCTGCGTACTTTTGCGTTTGTTTGCAGCTTTTTAACAAAACTTGAAGTTAGTCAAATCAGCGCTTCAATACGCACGCTTAAGTTGTTCTCCTGCTACGTCTGTCCTACTATGAAAATGTGTGAAGTGCGCGTTGAACTCAGCGATAAATGTGATTGTCATGCACTTGTTGCATTCTGATGTAGAATCGTCAATTTATTACTCCGAGATCTGCACTCAGATAATACGAACTATTCATATTTCAACGCTATTAAAAGTTACACTAATATCTTCACTGTGTAAACTTCTATAGTTGCATATCCACGATTTCCTGCTTCTGAGGATATCCTTTTCGACTAGATCTTCTCTTCATAGAAAAGAACGTCCTCAAAAACCTAACCGCTTTACCGTTACTGTTTACGATTTTCTACACCGCCAAGTCCTTCTCTACACCAGCACGCACCATCATATCTATTTGTACCAATATATCTGTATCAATATTGGTTCAGGCTACCGATGCTAGAGACGCGTCAAAAATGCAATAGTTAATGTGTATTTGAGCATCGTGGCTAAATACAATACTTTAATTCTCGAGGCGGTAACCAGAAAAAGATGCCAACGGTAAGGCCCATTAACCAACTTGCGCTATCATTATGGCGCTGCGAAACTGACTATGGCAAAACGCTAAAGTGTCAGATTCATTTTGTTTTCAGTTCCTCAGGGGGGGGGGGGGGGTATACACAGCTTATAACCATCTACTAGGTCCTCACAGACGCACATCAACCTCTAGTGACCTTTTTGCAATGCTACTTAACACTTAGAGAAAAAGGGTAGGTTTTTCCTCTCAATAACAACGGGAGCTTCTAGCTGCATAAAGCTTCAAAATTGTAATTATTATACGTAAACATCCGAATTGTATTTTTTAAAGTGTGATACTCTGGTAGCACTTGGTGACAGCTTTTATTGTTGAAGATCTGATTTTCTTGAAACTTGTGGAAAAGAGCGTGGTCATTGTCCAAATTTATACTCTAAGTTTGGGGAAAAGCTTTACCCACAACACATAAAAAAGCATCATCGTGGGTAGCGCTATCGAATAATTAGGCCCAAGTTATTAAACAAGCCCTTAATCAACGACATCCAAGTATAGATTGTATTACATATGTATACAGGATATCTCAGAGAAACGAATACTCAGCTTGAAAGATTATAAAATTAGTTTTTTATTCACATGTAATATTTAAACTCGTTTAATTTAGTTTCCCTCCTACCTTAGATGTTCAAAGTCTCTGGTGAACTGCTGATAACAAATAATAGCAGTATGCTATTGATTCACAAACTTGAAGAGACTTTCAAATCTCCCAATATCTTTGGTCTTCAGGCATGGATTATTCTTCAGGATATCATCGCAAAAAAATTTTTTTGCCGTTATAACTTGGTGGATAACGTATTTGCCTGTTAATTTTAGGGATATGTTGTGGTTTAGGTTCGAATACGGGCATTGATGCAGTTCGTTTTGCTGAAAGCCAGCCGTCTGCTGGAATATCTAAGGACGATATCGGACGTGCAACTTGAAACATAGAAGCTTGGCGAACGGACAGAATATTATATCGCATACCTTCGTCTAGCCTATTTGTTTAAAAGATTCTCACCAGGATATCCTTTTACATAACGATGACAGTGTGCAGGTGCTCCATCCTGCTGGAAATAAAATTCACCATTTCCATCGAAGGCCCCCCAAGTCCATGCGAATTCAACTAATCGTCAGCAGTTTAAAAAATAAAAACAAAATAGTGTCAATGTATACATTTTTTTGGAACAGCCCCTGGTTAGAAGTCCCCCCTGCCTGCACCATGCACACTATAGCATATAAACCATATATATCCAGTTCGTAAGCTGAAGTAAATCTTTCGAGTTCTACGTTTTAAAACTGCCTTATCACTGCATTACACGTCTTGGAAAGCTTATCATTGACTGTTGTGTCTCCGACAACTTAGTTTCGCTGAAGCTGAAATTGTGTGATGTAACAATTTCTGCAGATGATTTTTAGCTTTCCTACTTCTTAGTTCACCTTTGAAGCTTGGCCTCAATGCCTTCTCCTCCCTGCTATACTGCAACAAATTTATAATATAATCGCTTCTGCTGCGAGCTGAATCGGTCAATATGTTGGCCTTTCGAAATATTTATATATTGTTGTAGTCGAATTATATTATTTTAATTGCGCCACATTTATACCATAATGTTCCTCGAGTAAGAATCAACACTATGCAGCTCCTCAGGCAGTGCCAGCCGCAACCTGTTTGGTTTCAACCTGGTCGATCGGAGATATAGGACAAATAAACAATCTACGTTTTGAGAAGCTCGCTGATATCTAGGCTTGCGTGGCGCTCAAACATCCGAAACTTTGAACTTACCTGTAGGTCTGCCCCATAATCTTTATCCCTTTTGTGAGTGATATAGATGCCATGCACTAGAGCCATTTTCGTCGTCGATACAGGCGTTTTTACGGTCGGTCGTAACACCCAAAGTATCTTTTCAGAAACAGAACGAAGCATTTCTGAGTTCAGCCTCTGATAACTGTACAGGACTACCAGATGTTGGACAACAACGAGTAATTCAGTGATTTTCCAAGTGGTTGATCGACGAGATGTACAACCTATGCCTCATCAAGTGATCTGCTTCCTCTCCGCAAAGAAAAAATGATTATAACATGCTCTGCCGAGAAGTGTCGCTCTGTTTTCCTCTCTCCCTTTGAAGCAGTCCCGCAGCCATACTTCATATTGGAAGAAAACATATTTTTACAATTTCAACGTAGGAGTTTGCAAGCGAACTATTCTCTTTGCACCTATAACTTTTTCTTCACGGGCAAGCTAAATGGAGTATAAAAAAATTATCGCGGATTCATCACGATATACAGCTACTATGAGAACAACTTAATTCTTGATAATTTAGCATATTTTTCTATCGAATCAGTGAGTGTGGGCTGTTCAAAACCAGGTACTAATTGTTTTTGTAGCGAGCAAGGCAGGTAGCAATGAAAGCATTCGAGGCCGAAAGTCGGCCAGGAACAAAACCTATACATAGTAAAGGAAAGTTGCTATACGCAACTTATATATACGCTAAAAAAAATAAAACTAATGCTAATAAACTTCAAACACAATTTGGATGTAATGTATTGATTTTTATTTATGGATCTTGTGATGCTAGCTTGTCCGCTAATATCCGGTTAGTTTTCTATAATTTGCATAGCGATATTCACTTTTCATGTATTTTTCTATAAAATTAGATTATATCAACTACTGGCAACTAAGACTGATGTACGCGTACCTAGTTCTTTTTGTCTGATTTTTTTGCCGAATGAGACTGTACAATTTGACACTCTAATTCAACAGGCTGTACACAAAACGAACAGCTGGAGGCTTTTCTTCCAATAATCTAACCTTTAAGCCAGCGAAAGCTTCCGCCTCAAATTACTTACGACAGTTATACGTAACTCCGTGCTCTATAATAAGAAACGAAATATATATTTAGGGCAAATATAATGGCTTCAATAACTTTTCTTAAAAAGCAAGTTCAGCGTGTTCTATATAAGACATAGTTAAATGTATAGCCGCAATTACCCGCCACGATTAGACATAGTTTCCTTCTTGTTTCATAAATCTTTGAGAACATATTTGTCTGCATATATTTAGAACATAGCTCACATGTGACCCAAACAGGATCTTTTGGTTCCAATGTGCGGGGCTGCATATGGGTCAATGTAGTCATCTTCGAACCAAACTTAAATAAAGTTACTACTTGCTGTTCTAGTTTCAATTGGCTAGTAGCCCAACCCAGATATCATATGCTTCCTTTGGTCGATTGTGGTTTCTGTAACTAGTGGCCGCACTAACTTTACTGTGTTGCGAAATCAATGGTTCCCACGATACATCATACTTCATCATACGATACATGCTTGTCCGCCCGCTAAATCTCAGATTGGTTTATATGTAAATTGCTAACGGGGAAGGGGGCGGGGGGCAATGAACGTGAGCCAGGTTTCACCAACTACATGTAAACGTCTGGTAGCTACAGCATGTTAAAGCTGTGCTTGTGAAAATTCTGTAATAAGTACATACGGTAAACGAGACTTAACGTGAATGCTGTCATTGGTAATGCCAAACTTTTCACCCAGTCCTTCCTCACGGATGTGCCCTCATGCGTATAAAAGCAAGCAGATCCGAGATAAACATGGTCGACTTCATCTTCCGACATTAACCAGGTACCATGTACTTGTTTCAACAATAACAAATTGTTATAATAATAACAAACATCTCCACAAGTTTGGTATTATTAAAACATCTTAAAAAATTAACGTGTCAGTTGACGCCCCTCAACTCTTCAGTGTTGAGCGGTCCAAGAGGTTTTATTTCAGAAGACCTAGTGAAAAAAATGTAAATAACTTTCAGGGTAAAAATCTACGATGTTAATTTTTTTTTACTCAGATGATGTTGATTCACCTTGTTGGTGTTTGTGAGCCTTACTACGGGCCATCTTAAATCAATTTTGGGCATGTTTCCGCATCTGACCGAAGATCAACGCAAACAGCATTGACTCATAGCCTATATTGAACTCATTTTCTAGCTCGAAACGTAAGCATATATTGGCAGGAAGAAATTGTGCTAAAATGAGCGGCATACATTTACACACGTTGATTTTGCAGCAGTGGACTAAAACTTTGCGATGTGTTAGGTGGCCAAAAATATCTATCAAGTACCAACAGCATCTGTACTCAATACGAGAATTTAAATACTGGCCATCCATGACATTTGGAATAGCTGTTTACACTTGCAACAACGCACTTGGAGAAAAAGCGGCAGGGACTTACTTACGTCGTACTTAAAAATCGTGTTCAGCCATGTTTACACATCAAAGGATAGAAGCCTTCAATGAAACCGACCTGACCTGCGAAGATTTTGTAATGTAAACCCTATTCCCTTATGCATTCTAGCCCTACAGGTTTTTCCGTGCCATGCAAGGCTTACAACAGTAGACGGTGCAGAATCCGATCTGGTGTTCTGTCATAACAGTTCCATCGCGCGCTCGCACATCAGTCATCATCTAGTCGCCGCGTCTCCTTTAGCAGTTAATTCTAATGATTATCATTTTGGCTATATACGCGTTCATATTTAAGAAGAAGACGACAACATCTATAATTTAAACGAAGTACCGTATTTATTTTGATTCGGTGTATTTTTATCGCCTAGCTCAGTTACTCGCACAGCTGCAACCCTGAGTCTCTCGAAGACGCCCGACGATTGCTTCACAGAGTGGAAGAATGCGAGAACAGGTCTAGGAAAGCCTAAGAAAGGTGCGCAAGCGATGCAGCAGCCCTATTTTGTTGTGAACGAGTTCCCTAGCATCGTCTGCAGGTAACTTCGAGCTTCAAAGTATTACAACGACAGAACATAAAGCTGTGACACCGCTTGCTTATATATATATATATATATATATATATATATATATATATGTATATAGTCATATAATGGATTTTGTTAGAAAACATGACGTGTGAATACTTCCTATAAGCATTTGAATAGGTATCTCCTGTCGCAACCCTATTTCTGTTTACTGAGGCTTTCTGGTACTGATGAAATAAGGTAGAACATACCTAGACTCAAGCTGACGCCAAGGGTGAAGCTTGCTTCTAATTTTATCAGATGAGCCGACGCAGTCAAAGAGTACATGTAAAAGCTGTCGCAAGATTGTAACGGCGTCAGACCGAGCTTTGCTGCGAAGCAAAATTTTCACAAGTTACGGAGCTGAAAAACGCAGTCGAATAGGTTTCTCCGGTGAGCTAACAACACTAGTAGTTATGTCAATATCCTCATCATCCGCTTCCACTACGAACCGTTGCAAAACCTAAATAAAAAGGATAAAGTTACGCTATGTTACCCGATGTCTGGAAATGGGGATGTTTGGGAAAAAATATAATTGTATAAACGTATACATTCAACATGCTAAATGCCTGAATCAAAGAGACCGGCTAACGAGGTAGTGCGGTGCATTATGTCACACTGTACCCAAGGCGTTCTCTGCTAGATGTAGCGCAGATACAGATAGTCACTGGAAAATGAAAATCTATTGTCCCACATATGGCTTAATGCTATTTAGCAAAAGATGCAAAGTTTGGAAAAAGTAAATTTTAAGAAGTCAGTTGACGATAAGTAAACTCACAATTAGAATAGCTATATTGCCTAACTGGGCATCTATGTCCAAGTCAATTGTCGAGTTTTGCATCTTATAAAATTTAAACTCCATACATCTAGGTCGTAGAACGAATGTTTAAGACATTTTGAAATGTTGAAGACGTTTCTATAACGGAACAAAATGGGGCCTTTGTATTTTTGGCTGGTTTCTGTAGAACACCAATTGATGAGAATTACACGTTCTTTCAATTTTAGCAGTAAAAATCATCATGAATATTTACCCTAGCAAGTAGAACAATCATGGCCGTTTCCGCAATTCTTCGCCCTATGCAAGCACGTGCTCCGGAACCAAATGGCAACGAAGTGTATTCTGGTGTTGACGATGCGTCTAACCACCTCTCAGGCAGGAACTCCGACGGTCGCGGGAAATGTTTTTCTTGCATTGAGGCAACGTGGTTCTGGGTGAATATCTTTGTCTGTTTACGGCATTGGTTTTTATATCGCACCACGTCGTGTAACAACCCAACACATGAAAAATTAGTTTTCTAGGATCAGTTTTGCAATTTCGCTCAGATAAAAAAAATATTTCACCGAAACTTACTTTGAAATTATTTGAATTTTCTTCTAAGGGTCCAGAATGTAACTCACAAGCGAAATAAGTTCCTCGATTTTGACGTTCAGTTAAATTCGAAAAAAACATGAACCAGCAAAAGAGCAGACTCCACCGAATGGAAGGGGGAAATGTTTACTCGCGTCAATATCTAACACATTTTAGCGCAGCCTAAAACAAAGCATGAAACAAATATCTACATATATGCCAATAATTTATTACAAATACAAAAAAAAAATCGCATTTTCTCTCAAGAAAACTTAAGTGGGCTTATGTTAATTGCATAGTCTGCCACAATTTAATTTAATTAATAGAGAAAAATTAAGCATCTACTAATGTCGTGGGCATCGTCAGAAAACTGCGCATAACATTCAGAGTGCATATAAACCCATGTGAATTTCAAAACAGTCGGAACTGGTCCTCTTCTGTTTGCAATTAGTGTCCTTTCTTTGTGCATTACTGTGTCACAATAAAATTAACTTAATTTCCTTTGCGGTTCGTCCTGTTAATTAATTTGTTCTGTGCGATCTACATATCATTGTTCGGCCCATTTAGGCATTTTTGTACATATACCTTGACTAAATCCATTCGAAGTTACTCTGTTACACTTCAACCAATTTCTACAACCCGTTTTAGAAGGCGTTTCGTAGAATCCTCATATTCACTGAAAGGGCGCACTCTCCCGCTAACTGCATTGCAAACGTTGTGCTGTTTCTATAGTACGATGATCATACACGTAGTTGTATAACTGAAGTCCTGGCTTCTGCAACAGAATTTATTTCATCCTGACTTTTTGAAGTTCCAAATTGTTACCATTTGGGGTAATGTAGTCCAGGTTGCTGATGCGCATCTCTCTGAGTTCGTTGCCGTTGTTACCAGGTAAACTGTATATAACTGTCCAGCAGTCTTCACTCCGGCTAAATCTTCTATTTTTCTAAAGGTGTTTCATCTTATAACAAAGAGGTGATTGCGAAGACTAGCTCACACAGCAGAAACAAGAACAAACCTTTTGGGTTTTATTCATTCGCCGCCATTATAGCACCGAGCGGAGATCGTTGTATCTGCTACTACATGTAGGTACGAACGAATACGCGCTTATCCTAGGTACTTCAAGTCGGCATAAAAGACCACTTACAAACAGTGCAGGCAGCAGCGGCAACGCAGTTTGTTTGTAGAACATTTTAACTGTAGCAGACTGATGCTCCTTGGAGCTTTTTTTGGCTATTTCCACAAAGTTCTTTTTTAAAATGTCTCTTCTAAGTATAGGCATGTATATTTTGGTTCTGGGAATTTTAGAGAGCTAGGGAGTTTTCTACGTTCTTTCTCGTTTAGCACCATTTCTATGCACACAAAGGCCTTGTATAGTAGACGAGTATTTTTATAGCTATATAATGCACGAAATTTTGTACTAGGTGTTCGCTTTAGCAGAAAGCTGTATTCATTATCCGGTGTTTTTCGCAGGCAGCGTATCACAAACGTTGGGGCTATCGATGAAGTTAGAATCTTGAAGGAGGGATCTCTTGACATGTACATACCTCTATAACAAGCGAAGTCTTCACGTTTTCCGTTTTCATTGAAAATTGTACGTAATACAGGATATCTGAATTTCCTCGGTACCTTTATATCGAAACTAGACATACGTTTTAATGAAGCTCAATTACTGTGAGTAGGTGACTTCACATCTTCGCGTTTTAGCCGGGGCAGTCCTTAGATTAGAGATTAGAGACAGGCTCTTTGTAACAAATCGTACAATACGCTTGCATCGTTTTATTATTATTATTACTGCTGCATTACTTTGGCTACTCAATTTTGGTGCCCCCGACCAACAAGTGTTATGCCTTACTTTTGGAGGAGCTCGAACTTTAGAGTTTATATGTATATCCGCGGGCTCTATTGAACATAATCGTCATATACTATAGGAACGGAACATGGGCGGTATACACTTCGGACTCTGCGATGGGGAGTAGTTCTGAAAATACGAAAGTTAACACACCCAATAAGTTTCTCAAAATTGATTTTATCGAATCGATGATTATCTATGGTAAAAATGCTTCAGCAATTAGGTTAAGTTGTTTCTTTTTAATTCAGCGTGAGTCCATACAAACAGTTGATACCTCCAAAGATATACTCGAATGATTTTCCACTGCAACGAGCAGATGGTAAATTTCGTTTTGTGTTATCCTTATCTTTGTTATTGGTTTAAAATACCTTATAGAACATACTGTTTTCGTGGATTATCCTCCATACGTAGGCTTCGATAACATATATATTGTACCTTCAATTAACTACAGTGCCTCATTTAATTGCAGTTCCGTCTGTATTGATATTGTTATAAACGCTCACATATTTCCAGTCAACCGTTGTTCACATAATACGAGAATCAATGTCTTCAGACTCACATCCTTCATTACGTCACGCGAACGCTAGTCGTGAGGTTTTGTCTAAGTAACGATGGAACCAAAAGGAACGATGTTTTATGATCAGGTTCAGAGGACATACGTTGAAAACAGGCCCTCGTGCAGAGATATAGCTGGTCTGGGCAGAAAAAACCTGGCCAGGTTGACTTCAGCTCCATGATTCGGTGCTAGTGACTTCTTCCCATCAATTTGTTAACTAACGACCTGAGTTGATTCGAAGTGAACCCTGGGAGAGAAGTCGAGAGGCGGTGGATAGTGATTTAAGCGGAGACTAGTTCAAAGGTGACGGCTAACTACATTCTCGGCCCATATAAAGTAAACATTGCCTTCTAGTGGCTATGGCTGTATGTGTAATTTAATGGATTTACGATCAATTTAATAAGTAAATACTCAAACCATCTTGATAAAGCAACTGGTGCTCTGGAACTTTTGTTAAGAATGTCCTGTTAATATGACATAGCGTATTATTGAAACGGATGAAGATAAGTTTCAAGTCCTTTGGATTCTAAAACGCAATATTTAGGACAGTGTATATCCGTCTCAGTTAAACAGTGGCATCTATATATTGGTTTCGTCTATTTTACTTTTTTTGTTGCTCAGGCCATCGGTATCTGTAGACCCTTTGTAAATGGTTTTCGTACCGTACGAGCCCTTTTCAGTAATATGTCGCTTGATACTTCTTCAGACGCAGCTTAGTTCAATCCTGTTACAAACAGAATATGTTCTTTGTGCGTGGTAGTGATTGCAATGTCCGTATTTCTAGTGACGTGAGCTTGCTACTTTCTGTACGGCCACAAAGGCCGTTGCTTCTCCCGTTTGGCATATTTATTTTCAGGACGTGTCCATTGCGCCGCGTCTGCCATGGACCGGCCCTGCTGCGATACTTGGCGCTATTCCACTAATACATCTGTTCGTATGCGGGTTCCATATATAGCTTATAAAGTGCCCACAATTATCGCACGCCACTTCTTTGTGGCCGACAGAGGCTGGTAGGTGGCAGTGTTCCCCTATTTACCATGTGTAGTAAGATTTGAATCTGTCAATTTCGATTATTACTATTCGTCTTCCCTGAAGCGTCCGTGTGCAAGCATCTTTAACCTCACTAGACCTGAACGTTTCTGCATGACCCGCACAGTTTTGCGATGAATATTCATCTGCCAGTACGTATAAATGCTTGTATGCCGCATGCTCCATATACAGAGCCCGATTGTATGGAGACGTGAACCGAACAATTTTAACAAACTGCTATACACTGTCATTCCTGTCATATATACGCTCATCTATTTGTTGACCCCAGAATAGGATTCACCTTGAAAATGATTAGATTGCTCGCTAAACGGTGACCTATTGCCGCCCACAGTCATTTGCTTTTAAACAGTTCTTCAACCTCAAACAGAGCAAAGTTATTTTGGCATTTCTAGTGCCGAGAAAAGGTTTTCTTTTACTTACTCCAGCGGGAACGTGGTATCCGCTTAGAACGAGGTCTCTTGGCGTAATGCGAAATATTCCAGGAACGACCGGCCTGAGTCGCAGGGTTTCCTTGATGACAGCCCGCAAGTAGGCGAGACGTTCACAGCGCACCAGGTCCAATTTTGCAGCTGATTCAGCTTCCTCGCGAGCCAACTCCTGGGCTCGAGGATGGCGCGCAAGGAAGTGTAATGCAAAGCTCGCAGCAAAGGCCGTCTAGTGACCACGAGGACAACTGTCATATAATTTCGGCTAAAAATCGTTCGCGAGCGTAATTGCATATTTGGGTGCAAAACGTAGAAAATGTGGCTATTTCATTAATATTCACAGGTTGTTTGAGCTGTTAATGCGAAGAAAAGGGACATTCAATTAGGTGAATCTACGTACGGGGAGAAGGCCGAGGGGCAACGCGGCAGACACAACAATCACAGCTACGTCTAACATTGCTAACCTTAGAGTGTGTTGAAGCCTGTCTATTTTTACCTACTAAAGTGGGTTGAAGTCGCTCATCGTACGCATATCTTGTATATGGAACACTTCAATAGTCTGTGAATTGATAGACATTTTTCAAGATTTCGAGCATGAGATAAGACGTTGATGACTATTCTGTCCGCAACCGGTGGGATCTACACACGGTTGGTATACCAAGATGTGAACAGCTTTAATTAAAAGTGTTAATAAATTAAGTAAAATTTTAAAAGCGTACTAAACTATTTCAGTGTAGCAGTTAGTAGTATGTAGGTAATATTGTGTACCGCAACATTGCGGGTTGCCATAAACACGTTTGTCTTATATGTAGCACATATGGACATCATTGATTATTGTTTTATAAAAAACGGGTCTTTGGAAAGGCGAACCGTAAATTACGTAAAAATATGTTTCATATAAGTACAGTGTCGCTGTGTGTTGCAATAATTTAGGAAGATTCAACTATGCATAGACTTCAGTCATCTGAAGCTACCCGGAAATCGAGGGCGGCTAGACGTTTAGCAAGCGCTCAACTAATTGGATAAAATGGTTTCAGATGTTCATTCAGCTTGACGCTCTTGATGAAAAATAAGTCTATTTTTCTTTGTCGTATTAGAAGCTTGAAAAATTAGTATACCAGATTCGTTATTCCCAATATGATAAGTATAAGCGACGCCAGTATTTCCAAAAGACCAACATGTATTGTATGTATGAGGAGCTGGATTTCATAGTTGAAAGGTAAGGTTGGTCTGTGTCTCCTTAGATTAGAATTTATTTTTCTAACATAAATTAAAGCGAGGAGTTTTCAAACAAAAGTGTATATGTATTTCAAATGTTGTCCAAAGCAGAAGGTACATTTTTTACTATTTAACCAGATGCTCTCCGGAACGCAAAGTGCAATTTTGACCCACTTCAGGAACATTGTTTGGCCTATTCCCGAATACGATATTGTTCCCTGGATGATGTCATCACAAAATACAGCATAAATGGTTCTTCCGAACCGAGTGACCTACATATCACGTTCCTAGAAAACTTCTGATTTTATTTAAAACGTAGTTGTTTCAAGAGTAAGAATGGTATGTTGACTTTACTTCGTGAGGTTCGGAACGCCTAAATATTATTGCATATTAATCGTTTCATTACTATGTATGGGATGTTAGCATTACTCCGTTACGTTAGACGAAGGCACGTAGAATAGGTAAAATTAAATGGAAGAATTTTAGGAAATTTGGAAGTAGAATGGAACGGCCTCCGAATAAAAGCTTAAAGGAAAGCTTTACTGCAACCGTTAATGCTGTAGCGGAAGACATTTTGCTGACAGGCTAGTCTTGACAGAAAGAAATGGATTATACCAACCGTGTCGACGGCGGCAAATACAAGATCGGTGAGGCAGGTAATGATCTCGGCCGAGTTCAGGTGTCCCTCGTTAATGATATGGGACAGCAAGTCTCCTGGAGCACAGGACGGCTCAGAACGAGACAGACGCTCCTCTACAACGTCCACAATGAAGCTGTATGGGAAAATGTCAGCTGTATTAGAGAGCACAAGACCTATGTACATCTTTTTTGGCTTGAGTTATTTCTGCTCTACTTATTTATATTTGATCGAAAAGCTGCACACTTAATAACATTTTTTTTCGCTATTCGTCCTATGCAAAAAATGCGGTTGAGGCTATGACAATGATTTAAGCAGTGAGACGTCGACAAAAAGGTCCACGCAAGGTGACCTTGGCACAATAACAACATCAGACCTTATGAACCTACGTGATTCTGACAAACAATGAATAGGATATTCTCTACCGCCCGACTTATTATTTAAGCTCATAGCTTAATGTGATTACATTTGTTCAGACTTAGTAGAAGTAAGTAAGCGATTCGAATTGGGACGCAGTTGAAGACGAACGAACTACTAGCCAAAATTGAGGCGTTGTCCAAACAATGGAAAAAATCACCTTAATTGACGAGGTTAGGTTTTTTTATTAAGGTTTCCTGGCCAACCAAATCAAACACATAAAGAAGGATCTAAAGTTTGCTCACATTCATTTTTAGATTTATTTTTTCGCCACAAATATTCGTTGAATTCAACAAAAAAGAAATAAAACTGAAAAATTTAGTAGAAATCAATCTTTAATATTGTGGAGACCGTTAATAACCCTACTTTATTCTGAGGTCACCTTTGCCACCAGGCGGGTACAACGAAAATAAAAAAATTATGCTTCAGCCCGATTTTCGATATTATATTCCTATCGTTGAAATCTGGACTTTCATCCAGTTTGGACTATTAAAATTTAAATTTTAATTTAATTTTAACGGTTTCCTGAGCTATGTTAGTTCTATTGCTACGACTTCCAATTAGGAAATATAAAGTCAACCTTTAGTTTTGACGTTGGTGCTTGAACTCCGAAAGGCTTGTACACGTGCAATGCAATGAATTAGATAGTGTTAGTGGTCGGTAAACGCGGCACTAGGCGTGTCCTATGAAATAAACGACTTTCCCAAAAAGGATGTCACGTTTCCCAATAGGTGCTTATAGATAGGACTACGATCGGATTAGTACACTGTCTAGTTAGCATGCCTAAACGACCGTTCAACCTATCGATCTAATTGTTTAATTTCTTACAAGGCTTATGTGGGCTGCCCAATTAAAAAACGTCACTTATGACTGGACAATTGGAACAGTTTATTCCGAAAAGCCAATGAATTTAGTTGTACTTAGAAGCACAAAAACTAGTGCAGGTAGTATGAAGCAAGGTCCTACGAACGTGTTTCCTATTAGGGACAGGTGGCACAGCGTCATTAGTGAATAGTACAGGTTCGTTGGACATTCGCTGTGTACTTCGGATTCGAGTCCCGCAGTGTGTAAATGTTATCAAACGACGATACCGGCCTTTAGGCAAGCATGGAATATTGACCTTCTGCAAGTTCTAGCCATGCAATATTAATATACTCACTGCTAAGAAATGGGTATGAGGCGCTGCATACAGTCGTAGACGTACACTGGTAGTGTACTATGTAGAAGGAAGAGTATAAGCCTGGACTCCTTAAGTTATGCCTGAACAGTGTCCTAGTAAACGTGACTAGCTCTCATTTGAAGTACTTGTTTAGGTATGACATTCATTTTGAGCCATTAAGTTTTTCTTGACTTCTCTAAATCTAGTAGATGAGCAAATAACATAGACGCTACTTACTCTTTGAAAAGATCTTCATTGCGCTCGAATTCACTCCAGTTATGCGTAGCTACCCATCTCCATAAAGGCGGGTATGGGAACTCGAGATGACCAACGGCGTGGCTAGCCCGTCGTATGGCACCAATCATATCACAACATTCGGCAGACGGATTCGACCTAAGCGCTCCCAACTGCTTGCCTAGAAGGACACGTGTGGCATCTAACAAAAAGTAACGAGAAAAAACATCCTTTAAGGGAAGCAAGAACAGTACCGTCTATCTGGCCAGCCGCCGTTCATTTCAATCTATTGTTTTTGTTATAAATAAAGGTTCTTCCCTCACGAAAAAAAATGAAGAGCGTGCAGTTCGGGGGGAAAGTCTTAAACATCATATCTTGTTAATTGCAGTAATATATAGCTGATGAACATGGCTTGACCTTAGGTGAGCGTGGAGGCATCTCCGGAACAAACAGTAACCCAGAATACCATTCGCGTTGGCTGCAGTGTCCGCTTAAATAAGGCAACAGCTAATCGACAGCTAGAAATGAAAATTTTATTTGATGTGTGCCAGAAGCATTAATCATCACGCTTTGGTTACCGTCCTGACATAAAGGATATTGCTCTCGCAGTCGCCTGTGGTCAGCGACGCCAACTGCTGAACGACAGCTAATAAAGATATCGTTAACCATTCCTACATATCGACCGGAGCGCTTATGTCATAGCGTCTATTAGTTTCGGTACTCACTCTCAAAGGCCCAGAGATACATAGTATCATAAACGTCGGATTCTTCTGGTAATTGACCCAAAAGACGAGTGGCTTCCAGGGCTACGGCGTTCATCGTGTTGACATGCGGCGCTACGAAGTTTGTTTTTAGCAATGGACCGTTAAGTGCTGAACGGCAGTTCAACCACGACTGACCCTGCCTGAAAGGATAACTCAGATAGGCAGTTCATCCGCTCCATTTCGGCAGCTGACTTGTTGTCTGGCCATGTCCGGCCATAAATAAATGGCGCCCCCTTTGATTTAGTTTCAAAACTGTTTATTATTAGAGATAAGTATTACCACCCAAACCTGCACGTCGCTCGTACTCAAGAATTGTGAGTATTGCTTTTTGTTAACCTAACCTAACCTAACCTAACCTATTTAAATTACCTCAATCTTCGTTTGCGCACTATTACTTGGTGTAAATAGTATTTGCAATATTTAACGTATGTAGGCACCTATTTTAACTCTTATCGTTAACTAAAAAAAAGGCAAAAATTGCTTGAGTGCCACTGAGATTTTTATGACCTAAATGGATGAAGGCGCCTATAATACGGCGGCAATGGAAGAACAGTAATGATCTCGAGTATACGTCAAGAACAGAAAAAATTAATTTATCTATAAAAGAACAAGTTCATTGTTTTAAAACGGACTATTAAACTAACATAATGCCCAGTTGTTCTTATTTCACGTTCCCATCTCCCATATTGGCACGTCCATATTTTTCTACCACCGTTTAAGCCCTGAGCACAATTTTCGCGATGAGATACAAAGCATGTATGTTCATTTACTAGTCATTTTGAGAATCTTCCGTCTTTGATCATCGAACAGCTTTTCATAGGTAAGCACGCGTCAAATGGTATTGATAGATGTAGAGTCGTCATCGTCTCGTTCAAATACGCTATATACTAAAGACCTACGACGGAATTAAAATTGGGATGGTAGCGTAAGTATGTAAGAGCTCAGAACGTTCGATAAGTACATATACAAACACACTAAAGACATTGCGAACCGCTAGAACTTATCTGCCCGACCCAATTTACAGTGACGACCAGTCTAAAAATCCAATTACCCTAATAATTTTCACATAGTTATAACTTCGGATGATCTCAGGCTCTTTCCTAATGCTCGCGTACTTACGTGACAATTAGTCCTGCGTTAGGATCGCAGGTTGTCGAGTGTCTCCGTGCACGATACTCTTTAAGCGAAAACAGCGTCTCTCGATAAGGATACTTCGACTCACTCTTGAAAACTCGGGCGATGTCAGTGGGGTCGAATACGAGCAAATACGAACGACCCATAATAGTTTCACGGATCAGTGGTCCGTAGTTGTCTAGTTTTTTCGCATTTGTATGGTGCAACTTCCATGGGTTGTAGGATCCTGCAAGGAAGTAACGTGCAGTTGTTCATTAGGTCCAAAAGCGTTTCATTATGGCCACAATGGGGAGGCATTAATCTGGCCACTAATCACTTCGTATCGAATGCAACTCGGCAGGTTGGTTTCGGATGGTGTAATAAAAATGTATTCGGTGCATCTGTCAGTCAAATGGCACTACTTTTATGATTCGGGTTTCGTTAGAACTAACCTTAGAGAAAACCTACTTTCAGAATTTTTTTCCAACAAAAAGCGTAGGAGAGTGTTTACGAATGATCATCCTATTTTAAAAGTTTCGTATTTCTACGCGAACCCAGAAATGGTCATAAATTGTAACCAGGCTCATCAACAGTAACAGTCGTCACAGCTGATTGAAAGTAACCTGAAAGTCTTCCACTCAAGCTGTATTCTAAGAAAATCACCCAGATCCTTTGTCACAACATAGCATGACTTGTGTTTATATACAACTTACAGATCTAGCAATAGCCCTTCAACATTAGTTTCAGACGTATAGTGGAATTTTAGCATCAACTGTTTTGTTATAGTTAGCAATCCTGATTTTTGTATATAGAACAATAACGGGCAATGAACTCTTAGGCTGTGTTTTGATAAGAATGATTCACGGAATTATAGCGACCACAGGCACTGTGGCAGAGGAATGCCACTTTTGTGGGCAGCATTTACGCAAAGATACGGACGAAGAAGAGGTACCATTATAGAGCAGCAATTTCATTCAGAGCAGAACGCTGAACTGTTCCAGCTACTGCAGCGGGTACTGCCAATAGCTAAGACGGTAGCAGCTGGCATTATAAGCGAAACACTTTGGTATAGGTTGTGTGCTCTGCCTAGAACTTGGCACAAAGTGTTTTGTTGGTTTTCTTTACATGAAAGTACCTACCGCTCAACAAGAATGACGGCCATCAGCTGAAACATCAGGGTGTCAAGGGCCTAGGTTCGAAAAAACAGCTATCTCCTATGAGGTGAAAAATGTAACCACTCAGAGATTATGCCGAAGGGACAAATATAAGGTCTACATGACTACGAGGCCGAGCGCGCGCTACAACGGTGTTTGATCTTGAGAACCTTATCCAACCCTTCTGTGTTTATTGGCAAAGTGCCTCTAATGAGTAAGTAGTTTTATAGGCGAGTGATAATAATAGATTCTTAGCGAAGGAGATAACAGTTACTCCACTGGATAAACTGAATACCTGAAATATATGTTGGGATGTATTCGGATCAACAGTTTGCACATCTCTCTGTTTGGACTAAGACCGTACCATATGGCTATTTATTTATTATCACACAAGTAAAGTAAATATCCTTATTATCATAGAACATATTATTTTGGGTATCGCAGACCAACGATCGAACAAATATGTGCGACACAGGACACAAAGGACGCGGATAACTTACCTATATAAGGAATGTACCAAAGCAATGTTCCTAGAAATGGCAAGCCAGGAACAGTTGGTATATCCTCAAACGGTCTCGCGTTTTCACGGTTCAAAGGCATTTTTTTCAGCAATCACGTCACTTGATCTACCTCCAGTCACCCCACAATAGTTGAACGGAGTTTCTAAGAACTATCACGTTTTTGGACTTGCTTCAGGCAGATGAAAATAGCATTGTTCAGAGGAGGCAAGCCTTCGAAATCCGTTTGTAGAATGACTCTACGGAGTGTTCTATCGGAAAGATAAGCACGTTCCGCTTCGTAGTGTAACGGAATCATTTAAGGAAAGGCGACCCGCGAAGACGACTGGTAACGCACCAAGGCAATACTGCCAAACGGACACATGACATTTCCTTGTTCCGCATCGGGCCAGAGAGGCATTTACCCGTTATTGATTGCAATGGGGGAAAGTTGTATTTATCTTCACGTATATACGAGGGTAGGAATTATGAAAAATTTCGGGCGACTTACGGATCGCCGAAAAAGGATTATTAACCTAAATATTCTTTTATACTGACGTCGAATATCCACAGCGTAGCTCCAGGTCATTCCGTTGAGTACGTACTATGCGTTTCCTACAAATGTTGTTACATATATTTTATTTATAAGAATATATAGCAGGCGAAAAATGGCTAGGAGCCTTTCGAAGTTAGCATCTTCATGTGACATGAATCTAACGATACCGGTAGAGTCGCATAGGCCATTTCTACTAACGTGTCTTTAGACAACAATTATGAAACTAACGTAATTAAAACTTTAACCTAACACCACGCCTTTATATTTATTACAAATGTCGGCACATACTTTGCGCGAGATGACTATAATATTTTAACGCAATTTTTCTTCCTGCTGATACGTAACTTGTTGCAGATTAAAGCCCATTGCGAAATCGGTGCATTACTCAGGCGTCCTTACCTTTAAAAGTTTAATTGTAATATGAAGCACGAACATTTACCAATCTTGAAGACCGCAACATCTGGCAGTTTTTGGGGCTTTAAAGGAATCTTCATCTCTATTTTAGGTTGAAATATGGTTCATCTAAGTAGCTGTACTATGAGGCAATCAAGCTCTCTCCCTATATAATCAGCCCAAAATAGAGCCATGCACGTTTATAAGGTTCTCATCACAAGGAATTGAAATGTAAGTTTTACTACAGTCGAGTTCAAGTAGTCTAAAATTGGTGCGTTTTAGCCGAGAACTTCGGCGACCTTGATATCCTCACTGATGTGAAGTGCGCGATTCGGGCTCTCCTTACAGAACCGGCCCTTGTTAATATCCTATTCGTGATGCTTTCCTATGTGGCCAATTATAAATTTCATATATCCCCTTTAAAGTATTCAAAATAAATACGCATACACTTCGGTGTAATAGATTTCTCTGCAATTTTATAGTGAAGATCATGCCGCAAGCGGCACGTAAACATTTCCCATACAAATGCTTGCCGGGCTCCGACAATGCTACGTGTGTTCTGTTACACATTTTTACTGATTTTGAGTGAACAACTTTACCCCCATAGGCCAACCCACTCATTTCCACCATTTCATAAAGCTTCCAACTCCGGATTCATCTATTGCTGTGCTTGTGGGCATGCCTAAAATCGAGTAGTGCGTTTGAGCGCGCGGATATATACAGGATAGCGATTGAACTAGAAGGGAACTGTTGTTACCGTGAGAAAACCTGTAGCCATAGTTATAATAAGGGGACTAATTAAACTACAAATAACATTGATAAAAGTCATAATAGAAGTTCAGAACAGCGATGGCCTCAACTAACCGTGTGTTAAGGAAGAAGTAACGTTGAGATATGTGATTTTTTTGCGATATCGAACGTAAAGCTCCAAATATAGCAGTATACTGAATATAAGAAACGAAACAACTATGTGTCGTTGTTTGCTAGTTGGTTCGACAGAAAAATTAAAGGAACCGAGTTAGCTTAAAGATACGGTTTGGCCTAGTGAGTATGCGACTATATATGTTAAGAAAAACGTTCTTGATGCGCTACGTTGACGCTGTGAGCATTCAGGCTGTCGTCGCATGTAAACGAAATTTTAATAACCACGTTCGCATAGACCATCGCACAGGCCGGACAATATCACTGAGACATGCGTTACATTTTGGATAATCGTGGCCATGAATTACGGTCCGCCATCGATAATCATTTACCTTAAAATGATGGTCGATCGCGATAGTTCAGGAAACCTAATTTGAAATTGGTAAATCGACGCGCTTATCGTTACTACCAGCTTTAATTTTTCAAGACAGACACAATTTCTGGTCTCAACCGTGTTTGGGCCATTTAAAAGTACCTATGACCGACGAAATGTGAACACAGGAAGCTTGCCACAACTGCCCATGTTTTTTCAAAAGACAGATGTTTATGCTCTAGCATTATTGAATGGTTGACTGTTTCGCGGAAAATTTTTAGTGGCCTATATTATCCTACGTCATGTTATAGGGCTAAATGGATCAAGGTTGTAAGTGTTTTTGATTGATATTTTCTTCAAGCTACTTAATTAGGACCCTTTTAGGCCAAGGAATAAAAATGACGGACAAACACGCCAGCAGAATTTTCCTTTCTTGTATGTTTTCCTAATAGCAGCGTTAAGTAGATTTTGGCCTATCTAGCCTACACTGTTCCTAACGCGTGTACATGAATATAAAATTACTTCTACCTTCTGTTATCTGACATAACTCGATAGGGTAGTAGTACGCGCAGAATTCTAAGCGAATCTGTCAAGAAAAGAATACACTATGCCATACTGCGGTCGGCTTTTTCTTCACCCGATTTGTGGCCCGATAAATTCGACCAGGGAATAAAGTAGTAAATTAAGCAGGTCTTACGCATGTTATGAAACTTACTTATTCTTTTTATGAAAAAAAATCGTATCGTCAAGAAATCCAATCCACCACCAAATACACCGTGCTGCATCCCTCAATATTGTCCTTCAAGAAGCCTTTAAGTTCTACCACCCTTTGTGTAATACGTTTGTTTATTTTTGTATTTATGATCGTTTAAAATCGACTGTCTATGTCAATAGTCGAGACATTAAGCCATACGTGCAGCTCAATGGATAGAGGTTGTTTATGTTTTTTTTTCATAATATGTGCTTTCCATTAACGCAATTACTAATAGACTTTTATTAGACTCTGATTTATAGAAGCACCACAGAAAATCCGTTGTAGTTTTTATGCATTTAGCCATAGTGGAAAATCGGTCTTATGACTCAAGATAGCAATTCGACAATCCAGCGGCATAGTTTCAATGCATTCTATTGAACCTACACTTTCAAAGCAATTCGACTGAATGATCTAAGTATCGTGTGGTACATATCAAACATGGAAAAGGCCTGTCGCCTCTCTAACGCCCATTCGTTTAGGGCATCTTCGAGTTCACGGTTCCCGTGTGACTATATCCATCTCGAGTTCTGTACAGCATTCAATTTCGCCACCTATGGGACAATAGACGTCCCTAAAAGGGAAAATTATTCTATTTTTGCCTCAGTGAATATTATAGCTCAAGCTGTCACAACAAGCAATTTTAGCTGATAAACACAAAGCAAATGAACCTATTGCGCTGTTTATATGGATATAATAAATGTTACTATCGAATACTGGTTCAGGAAGTTGGCCGTCACCATGAAAAGAAGCACTATTACGAAGACAGTTTATATAGTCCTAGGTCCTGCAGACCTTTAATTGACCTTTTCATATCTTTCTGAATCCGCTTATTATAGCCATAAGCACATACGATGTACATTCAGCATTACGTGTTCTGTTGTTATGTGCACCAGGGTTTCATCAACCCCTAACCATTGTCCCAAAAGTCGCTATTCAGTCTCTCAAAATGTTAAACATCGCGATAATTAAATTTATACACCTTTTAAGAACTATACGATTCTGTAACATAAAACCTTTAAAATAATTTCGATAGTTAGCGCTAACAAGTCTTATGTTATCTGTGAGACCGATATAATCCAGGAGGATGTCTTTCCCTGATTTCGAAATGTACTTATTTTAGTATATTGCAATAAGTAAGAAAATTTCTCAAAATGCTCATTCCAGTCTACATAATAGCCTCTTAGAAACAGTAATGATAATCGGCTAACCGTACGATAGGGGAAAGAATACTGCACAAAGTGTGCCGGCTGATAGTTTAACAAACGAAATTTAGAAAACGAAAAACTTTTTCTCAGGAATTTTCCGTCTAACGTTGCCTCGGCAAGTGTCTACGTAGCTGAGAAAATGACTGTATCGGAGGACTAAGAAAACGGCGAGATCGTTCTTTGTCCGCGCGTTTCTTTATGGTTCGTCTGTATAGAGGCTTTACTCCGCATTCATATCTCTACAGGTTTCCGGGAGAGCTTCTGGGAAGGTGCTGAAGCATGTTCGGTCAGAACGGTATTGAATACATCAGTGTGCGACTTACGTAAACGTTGCCGCCAATATTTGAATCAAAGGCCACTTCGCTCGTACTCGTGGGAAAAAACGAAGTGCGATGTCGACTAAGTGTTAAGGCATTGGAAAGAATAGGATCTATGAAACACAGGCTATCATTCATATGTTGGCGGCAAATTAAACTGAACAAGCAACGTATCATAATTGGAGCTTTTCTGAGCAGTTCTGCATAGGGGTTTGCTGGTAACTGAGATGAGTGATATTCCAAACGATCTGTTCCTGTTGTGTTTTTTGATGGCCTGTTTACATCCTTTGTTTGATATGCTTTGTTTCAGCCGTTCTATTTTAAAATTCCCCTTTAGAGTTCATTTGTCCATGATTTTCAGACTTTTCAACTATATAACCTAACCGTTAGATGCATAATAACAGGCAGATGGTGTTTGTTAATCCTGGGGAGACGTTGTGATCCGCGCATTTTTCGTTTCGGTCTGGAAGTCGGCCGTCCAATGGAATGCCTAACAACGATACACGACATCAAACGTGGGATAATACAAAATATACAAAAATAGGAGTTGAACATTTAGGTACATCAATGTACGTTAGCATTATCAGAAGCAGTACCGAGGGTGTTACTATTATTATTGTTATTATTAAGTTATACATTGTTACCTGCGGAAACTGTTCACGGTAACAAACGATATTTATTTAAAAGCTAAACGATAATTTTGCATCTGTATCCTTCCGCCAGCCCACGTAGACCGGAAACCGCCCTTGATAAATCGCTCGTATGAAG